TTGACACTTGACGGATACCCTATTGTTTCATAGATGGCGCTCTATACAAATTTTTGATTTAAATCATTTTAAGATAATAATAAGTACGAGGTGTGTTCAGAAAATATCGGGAATTTTCGTTTTTGAAACAAATATTTATTTATTCGTCTACATTAATGTTGTTGCCTTCAAAATAGTCCCCATTGGATATTATGCACATGCACCAGCTCTTCTTCCAATACTAGAAACACTTCTAAAACTCGATCTTTGGGATAGCCTTTAGTTCTTTCAGCGATGCGCTTTTAATGTCATCTATGCTTGCAAAACGACGGCCCTTTAAGGTTTTCTTTATTTTTGGGAATAGGAAAAAGTCAGACAGAGGCATGTCTGGCGAATATGGAGGCTGGGGCATTATTACAGTATTGTTTTTGGCCAAAAATTTTAGCAAAATTCAACAATTTTAGAACAAATTTTTTTGCCACGCGTTTCATACCCAAAACATTCGAAAAAATTTCATGGGATGAGCCAATCGATATACCAACATCATCAGCGACTTCTCTGATGGTTTATAACCATTTCTTCCACTTTTTCCATGTTTTTAACGGTTGTTAATGTGCTTGTGCGTTCGGGGCGTTCGTCATCTTCAACGTCTTCACGGCCATCTTGGAAACTCTTATACCACTTGTAAACTCTTGTTTTACTTATAACAGACTCACTATAGGCCTTTGTTAACATTTCACAAAATTTTTTTAATTTTTTAAGCAAAATTGGATACAAATTCTTTGATCCATTTCCCTTAACGAACGAAAAATCGCCGAGCTCATAAAACACGTCTAACCTTAGCGGCCACAGACAAAGTAAACAATGAAAACCGCTAAAGTTTTTATCATGCTTCGGGAGCATGTATACCAACATAATAAAGAAAATTTTATGACAACCGGACCCTCCGAACCCGCGAAATTTAACAATTTCCGTTATTTTCTGAACACACCTCGTATTTTTCGTAGAAAAAGTATAGTATGCACCTCGTTTATAAACTTTTCTATACATCCATTAATTTAAGCACTCGCTCGCAAGCTCGCTCGTGTCTAAATTAAATTCGTGTTTATCAAACTTGATACATAATATACTATTTTTTAAACTCTTAATTTAAGCAAGGATAGTTGGTAATGTTGCTATGGGTCTTTATTAAACTGAACAAAAAAATACCATATAATATAAATTTACCAATAATATATACCATATAATATAAATTTATTCTCTTTAAAAACCTTGCTTTCATCGAAAGAAAATCGATTTTTTAGCCAAAATTCTGATATTTTTAAAACTCAAAGTGATACAGCATGATCAATTTTTTCCCGATTTAAATAAAATTTAACCTATTTGTAGCTTTAAAATGAACCAAGCGAGTCAAAATTGGGTACTACGTGTACCACTTAAATAAACTTCGAGAATAGCTATTAATATTGGACAATTTTTGTGCCTAGGATTTTAGACCTGATTTTAAGTATAAGGAGATGTCAAAAATATTATTGTTTTTTCTATTAGTTTTAGTGTATGAGAATATGAGTAGAGTATCTATCACTTTGAATTTAAAAAATATCCGAATTTTGGCTAAAAAATCGATTTTCTTATCAATGTATATGGTATTTTTTTTAGTTTAATAAAGACCCATAGCAACATTACCAACTATCCTTGCTTAAATTATAAGTTTAAAAAAAAAAAAATATATATATATATATATATATACATATATATATATGTATATATATAGAATGTGGGCATAACGAAAAAAAAAGGTTTTTAGTCTACATCGCAAAAACAAGAGCTGATTGAGCAAAATGATGTTTATTTTTTTATTCAGCGTACCTAAATTATCCTTAAAAAGTTGTTGGTTGCCATGTTGGCTCATCATGTTGCCGAACGCAAGGGTATTGTTAAACTGGAATTCTTGGGGGTCTTTAAGGTGGTGCGCGACTTTTGGGGCAGCCTAACGCTACAGCTACAGCTTAAATTATTTATTTTAAAAACTTTTTAAATTAAATAGTTCATTTATTTATAAATCATATTAAAATAATTTCAACGTACAAAACGTTTGTTCTCAAATACTTAGTATGTACATTTAGTTTCGCTTGAACGTCGGCCAGTTTGTTATAATTTAGTAGTTGATTTTGAAATATAACTAAAAGTGCACATGAACTTTTTTTAGTTATATTTAGTATTTAAGCAACGAACTTGCCCTTAGATAATAAAAATAAACTAAATTAAAAGTAGGAATTAAAATCTTTATAACTTTAAAATACTTTTTCCACTCCCACCATTAAAACGCCCATTATCGTACATATTTCCAAGACAAAAAAGTGCTATTTTAAAGACACATTGGAAAGCTGTAACTTTATGGCGTTTTAGTCACGGGTTTAAGTTATTTGGCAGTTTTCCAATGTTATGCAATCGTCAAAATAAAGTGCCCTTCTTGTTGAATTATACTATAATGTGGAAATTATTTTATTATCTCACTAAAAAATACAAATTTATTAAATAGTTTATTGAAGCCAATCATAAAAAGTTTATATGCACATTTGTATTGGCCTTTTGAATTCGCCGGCAACAAACTAGAAGTTGCCGATGGATTTAAACAGTTGTTAGTCCATGTTTAAGGAATAAATTTCGATTTTTAAAGGAAAATTTGACAAATGACACTGACATTTTAAAAGCCGGCAAAACAGATTTCTAACACAAAGTTTGGTTACCTACTCTATTTTTCTATAGATATCGCTATAAACAAATATATTAATTGATTATTAAAAAAATATTTGTTATAATAATGTTCGTCGTAGAAAAAGTATAGTTTATAAACTTTATAAACTTTTGTAGACACTTATTTTTATTAAACATTCGCTCGTGCCTAATTCAAGTTTGTGACTTAAATTATGTTTATCAAACTTGATACATATTATACTATTACAATATATGTTTAATTAAATGTATCATGTTAATATTATTATTAAATGTAAAACCATTTAAGAAACATAAACAAATTATCGTATTATCAATTGTTCTTTTATAAAAATAGGTACTGCACTTATAATTATGTCTCCTTACCCATATTATAAAATATATAAATTATATAAATTTTCCTTAAAAAAATCAAATAAAATATTTAAAAACTATTTAATTTTCTTATTTTATCTTTATCACTTTATTATAAGTTTTATACGTTATTAGTCGATGAACCTTTACATAAAACGTAATCCTCTGTAATTCTAACAAAACTTGTGAAGTAGTTACTGTACATAATATGTAATTATGTTTTAGAGTCTAACTTTATGAAGTAAAAAATCAAATCGACTTAAAACTATCATATCACCAAGCTGCTATACACGAATGTCCTATTTTTTATATTTATACTTAAATAAAGCGAGCATTTTTTTACTAAAAAACTGGTAATAATGCTAAGTGCCGATGTGTTATTTTCTGCAAGCTTTTGTGTAACATCTGCTGTTGATGTTTCCATTTATTTCTAAGAACCTTTGGCTCGATTCATTGTAAGTTTACCTTGCCTTTGACAAGTCCTTATCCCGATTATTTCAAATTGTACCCAGTATTTGTAAATAAATATGAAATTTATCCAGCCCCCCACTTATAATTAAATTAAAGAATAAACCAATCTAACAAAAAAACAAATATTATATTATTATATAGTTTAGAATTTTTTATGTATTTTATAAATTCTTATCTACTGTGTGCCTTATTTCTTAAAAAAATACCTACAGATTAGTTGTTTAGTAGGAGACTCCTACTAAACAACTATAGGAGTATATTTTTTATAAAATTGTATAAAATTAAAGTAGAAAAACAATGTTACAAAAATATTTAATTCAGATCTAGATAACGATTTTAAATTGTTTAATTATTGACTGTATCACAGTTTTTATTGATTATTTGTGGTGGGGCTTTGGCTATATCGATACTATAATTATAAGACACATTCCATTAAAAAAAAAATCACTTCATCGAAATCGTAAACTATCTAATATATTATCATTAAAAACCTTCTAAACAATCCAAAAAACAAAAATAAATTTAAATTTCAGTTGTGAATTTTTGCATTAATTGTGTTTTCTTATTTGTTTTATAATAACTTTTAAGGCAAGGTTTGTGAAAGCATAATTCATATTAAATAAATTAAATTATGACTAAAATGTTGGATAAAATTTTGTTTGTGAAATAACTAATTATAATATCTTAATATTGTTGAAAAATTTAAATTTTCTTATATTCGAATTCTTCAAATAATTCGAACGTTTGATTCAATCTTTGAATTGAATTATTCGGTTCAATTCCCAAACCCCTATTATACTCGTAAGTAGGTATAAAAGTAAATAAACTATGCATTGCATAATATATTATTATATAAGTAAGGCAAACAACTTATATATTTTAAATATTGCTGGTCTAGCCCATGTTTACTAACTCCTAATAACTAATTATTGACCTATCGAATTAATGCCGAGCAATTCAAATCTTGCGCCCTTATTATAATACCTTTTATACTATGCTATAATTTTACTTTCATACCATCTTTGTTTAAAAGTTTGTGTTAAACTTTTCAAATTCCTGTCCTTTTTAAATTTTCGGGAAAAAGCCAAAAACGTGTTACTACAATTGACAACAACAGGTTTTTGTTTTTTTCCGAAATTTATTTTAAAGGACATAACGCGATTTGAAAAGTTGCTTCTCAAATAACCATTTTTACCTGAAAAGTTAAATTAACAATCGTAAAACTTGTATAATAGTAATCGATTTCACATAAATATTTTCTTGCAAATTATAATTAATTCAAACTTGTGTATTAAATTTTATTATAAACATATAAATGGGTACCATGTCTTATAACTTAAATATGCTATAGCCATCCCACTGGAAATAAGAGACTTGAAAACTTTAAAGATGAATATAATAGAAAATTGTTGGAGTCAAAAGTGATTCGATAAATTCTCGAATGTGTAACTTCATTTCAGTCGCCTGACACACAAGTTTGGCAGAACGATTACCTGCAAGGCACTGGATGCGAGATGTACACTGAGACTCTGTCCCCCTCGTTCACAGGCATGACATTCCCCCAGGCCAGCGAGTAAGCTTTCTTCTATCTATCAATCTATCTATCTATCTCTACTCAACTATAACAAATATACTTTACCTATCCTTCATTCTTTTCAAATACATAAAACATGCCTTATACAACGACACATAGAAATTAGAAAAATATGCATTAATACATTTTGATAATAAGTATACCTACTACTGCCGGAGTTCTTATTTTTAACATTAAGAAAAATTTACAATAAGATTAATTGGTTATATCCAAATTTTTCTAAATCCTAATAATTAAATACTGTGGTGAAACAACGTTGTAACCACCAGGAATGAGTTTTGTGAAATATCGAAAAAATAGTACATTACATATCGAGTGGCAAAAGTCCGCGATTTCTGAAGAGTGTCAAGCTTTAAAAATCGCTACGAGATTTGTACACCATTGTTTATTATTACCACCTGCTCGCTTTCTTTTGAGAGGTAGAGAGAAAAAATCGTTTATTCTTGAGTGCATATATGCACTATTTCACTATAGTGAAATTAACGCATAAATAAAGATTTAGTTAAAGAAGTTTACTTTCGCCTTTAAAGACGGTTTTTTGCGAGAAACTCGTAATTTTTGCATCGCTCAAATGCAGTCCTGCAAAAATGCTTAACTTTTTACCATTACAATCCTGTACATACATATATGTTGTCCTATTGTGTAATAGTCCTTCAGAGGGGACTTTAAGCCCGCGGTCCGTTCCTACCCCTAACCCGCACAAGCCATTCAGTTGGCTTATGGAAGAAGTAAGGGTGGAACTAAAAGAGCACTTTTGTATATAAACTTTTTTTGTATGTATACTAACCGATTAAACGTTATTTCACAAAAACACAGCATTTTGGTGGTTATACGGACTTTTCAGCATATCATTCGTTTTTTAAATAAACAGAGTATATTATATAAAAAACTTAAATACCTTTTATAAATTTTGTAATTTTTTAAGACTAGTAACTTAATATTTACTTCGTAATAATAATAAGAGAATTGGATTATAACATTATATTAAAAAAGTACCTAAAATTTTTATTGAAACAATTGTTTCTTATTACTCTTATTATTAATATTATCTTTTTAAATGTATAAGAAATATAATCAGAATGTAGTTTTGCATATAGTAATTTAACGTATATATCGCTATACTAATCAAATATCTTCTCAAAATTTTAAATGGATCCGAATTAATTAAAATCCAATTTAACAAATGTGTATTTTATTGACTAATAAAGGTATACTGCAATTTAAATTAATACCTAATGTGATAATAATAATTAAAATCCGCCTTAATCAAAATTGTTGTAAACCACTTTATTAGTATCAATATAATATAACCGATGCCTAAACAATTTCAAATATTTGATGTTATACTTTATTTGTCCAAATTATCAGATATTTAGCACACTTGTACTAAATAAATTAAATTTTACTCAATAATTTGATTATTAATTATATTAGTTTATATATATTTTACTATTTTTTAACTGTCAAGATTCTACATTGTTATTTATAATTTTTTTAAATGTTTTACCCATATATAAAGTATAATAAATATATTAATTGTTTAGCAAAGACAATATTATTCCCCACTAACCGTTTTTAGAAAACATGTATGTGTACATTTTGTAGCTTAGAATATAATTTAGATTAGACCTACCAATTAGAAACCGTTTATTTTCACAGTGTATATTAGTAATTTAACCATCATCAAATAAAAAATAAATTTTATTTATAGGACGTGTAGGTGCCAAATGCTGTCTTTATAAAAAAATAATATTAAACATAATAATAAATTATTTTAAACTAATAAGCAAACTCGGTGTCCAGAGAGACAAACAAATTAATGTTACAAAACTCATCCTAAAACGTTAACTTAAATCCCTTGCTTATGTTACGCATTTAAATAGCTTACTATTTCTATGAAAGCTTTGCATGATTGTTGCTTTTGATGTACCAAAGTTATCCTTTTAATTTTAGTTACATTTTCATTTTTAATATACCTACAAGTAACATACAAACAAGTTATATAATTATATATAATTGTATACTAATTTAAATGTTTCTATATAGGTTGTGTTTCACGAAGTTGAAGTTATTGCTGTTGGCAATCGAAGTCAAAGGAACTGAAGGTGCAGATACAAAAATATCGATAAATCCTCGAGGGGCGAAAATCGTTGCCAATACACAGGGATTTTTTATTGCTCAATCAGCTGATGAAGTCAAAAGGTAAGTTTTAGCCTAATTATTTAATAATGAATAGTATATTACACTACATAGGCCGAAAGTTGAATTTTTGGCCCTGTGCGTCATGACGCGCAGGACCGAAAATTCAACGTTTGGGACGTGTGGTGTATACTATTTTTTTTCATACATCGGTCGAAAGTACTTACTTTCGTCCCTAATAGCAGGGACGAAAGTTTACCTCGGTCGAAAGTACGTACTTTCGTCCCTAATAGCACAGGGAGTAAATGTTAAACTTTCGTCCCTGCTATTAGGGACGAAAGTAAGTACTCTCGAACAATGTATGAAGAAATAGCTATTTATTTAGTTTTTTCTATTACCTTTTAACGGTTTTAAGACATTTTAAGCGTTCCGGTTGCTTTTACTAACCCGGTATGGGGCTATAAAATTATGACAAAATATTAAGTAAGTGTTGCGTCGCCGACGTCATGTTGACAACGCTTTGTTGCTATGGTATTTTTGGTAATACAAACATAACAGTTGTTATAAGCTGTCAGAATGTTTATCATAAATTTGAAATTCTTCCTACGTTTTGAAAATGAGCGATATGAAAATAAATATAGTTTTTTCAAAGAATGATTGGACAAGCGCGGAGTAAATCTTTTTCCTACAAAATCAAATAGGGCTAGACAAGGTACAAAAACTCTTCCTAATGTACAATTGTTAAAAAAAAAGAGGGAGGAAATTTTTTTTCTCCCTCGCTCGGGGGTGGAAAATTAAGTTTTCCAGTAGAGTAGTAGAAAACATTTATTTTTTACCACTTGTAGTAGCTCAAAGTAAATAAAAAATCAAAGAATGTAATATGTTTAATTAAAAAACTGCATTACCGTGTAACTACAACAAGTAAAAATCAATATCCCATAGGCAGGCTGAGAAGCCAATTTTAATTATTTAAACACAATTTGGTGTGGAATTTTTTTACCGAATACCACACGAGGTCAAATTAAATCGAAACATAAATTTTAATTATTTAAACACAAGGTGGTGTGGAAATTTCTTATCGAATACCACACGAGGTCAAATTAAGTCCGGACATTTTTTCTCGCTCATGAATATTCTTAGAAAATTATCCCTTGTCTTCGACTCGGGATAATTTTCAAAATATTCATAAGCTCGAAAAAATTTCTGGAAATAATTTGACCTCTAGTGGTATTACTAGTGATAATTTTTATGAGAACAAAATTTAAATTAATTTATATTATTTTTTCAGGGCATGGTTTTATTGCAAGGCTTGTCACGACGAAATTAAGGATGAAACTCTTATCAAAAAATGCAAATGCAAAAACTGTGAGTTCTTTTTAATAACTAAATCATTTTTAAATCATCCTTTCATAATAAGTAATGTGCAAATGTCTATTTTCTCATTTTATCCATCGAAACTATCTTTATCTATGTGTAAATAATTGCAATGTAAATGTAATTAATTATTATTATCATAAATTTATATGTTAGGGTGTTATACTTATTATCTAGAAAAACAACTAAGTACACAATGTTTACATGGTCTGTGAAAATTCTAAAAATATATATCTAACTGTTTCATTTATACATATGGTACTGCTCTCCCAAGTAAAAATTTGCTTATAAAAAGTAGGTAACTAAATGTCTTTGTTTTTATAATAGTATATTCTGTAACAAGTTTGGAATACGGCATATTCCGCTCGAGTTTTACGAGAGTAATATATGCAATTCCAAATGTGTTTCAGACTACAGTTTTTCGACGTTTCCAAAAACTACCATAGAAAAATTATTTAAATGGAAGAAAGTGAGGTTAGATTGGTCTAAAAGTTGTTAGGTAATAAACACAGATATGGAACTACCAGTATTTATTCCGCACATACTTCCACACATATACAAATCATTTCTAACTGAGAACTGTTTTCATTTCGTGCGTGGCTGCATTGCCGATTTAAAAAAAAATATCATATTTTTGTTCCTATTTTTGAAGTATAGTAAATACTTTTTAAAAAATTATATGAAAAAAGGCATTTAACAATAATAAACACACAAAATGATGATATTTTAGATTTTATAATGATATATTTATAACAGCAAGAATTTGGCAACAGCGTATTTTGACCACAATAGCCAAAAGGTTTTATCATAGACATATTAATATGTGGATGGTTTTTATAATTAACCATTTTGTTTGTTTGCTCTTGCATTTTGTTTGTTTGCTGTTATATTCAGTACTGCAAGGACTATCATATCCGGTGCATAACTTATTTATCTTTTTTACCATATTCCCGGCAAATAAAACATATTTCATCGCCTCATAATTTTTAGCATCACTCTCGCTAGAAGTTTCTACTATTTTTCTTTTAACTGTTTTAACTTTTGTCTTATCCTTCACCAACTTAGACTTTCCATTTTTATTCTTGGATATCGCTTCCATTTTCTTCCTTTCATTTTCTCTTCTTTTCAGCTCAGCCATTTCATGAAAAGACGTTTCTGTGGGTGCTAACCGGCCTAATTGATCTGCTGAAGAATTGGGTTGGTCTTTTGAATAGCTTGGTTGAGGTGTTGAGCAACTTGGTCGGGACATTGAACAGCTTGGTTGAGGGGACAGTTTAGAAATCCTTATTGAGGAACTAACATTTTCATTAGTTGAAGCATAAAAATCCTTTTCAGAAAATACATTGGGATTAATTGGATATATTCCACAGACTTCGAATCCCTTAATTGGTTCAAAAGGATTAGCAAATCTCATATAAGCTTTCGTAAATAAATGCGCGATGTCATAATTTGTTATTTTTTCATATGCATGTGACTTCATGAATAAATCACACTCTATATCATAAGCTCTTTTAAGAGGTCCCAAGAATAATAGGTCAAGCGTTTGCAAGCGATGTGAAGAATGTGGAGGTAAGGACAATAGCACGGCACCGTTCTCCCATGTGGCTGCAATGGTTGTCCAGAACTAATAAGGCTGGGTCTTCTTTGGTAGACGAAATGCTAAAGCCACATGTGGAAAACTTCCTCTGTCATCCATCCATTCTTCGTACATTTGTAGATAGACACTGGTGGACCATTTCTCTCCAGAGAAGGTGCCATTCTGAGGCGTGGAAAGATAAATAAAGGCGGTGTAAAACTGCCACTTGCACTCATGCAATAACAAACGTTGACGTTCTTTCCCCTTTCACAGCTTGTCGCAATTCCTATTTGTTTAACTCTTTTGCCAGCAATAATTTTTGTAAGCTTGTGGACTGTAGTGATGCCAGTCTCGTCTACGTTAAATATGCGAGTTGGTCCAAATTTGTACTTTTCCATCAACGCAATTAAATTTTCGTAAAATCTCTTAACTTTGTCCCTGTTAAAACCTGTAATTCGGTTAATTGATGTAGCCTCAGGTTTTCTGCAGCTGTAGCTTTACCCACCATCTTTCTATCTTTATTAAATTTGTTTGGTATGGCGTTCCTTTCAGCATACTCGAAAACAGCTTGTCGAGTGTGGATGGGGGTTAAACCAAAAAATATTTTTGACAAATGCAGCAAATGTTGACAAATTTTGTTCTCCTGTTTTTCTGTAAAAACGGTTTGAGCTCTCATCCTTGCAGGATAATAATGACTGAACCTACACCTCGCCAAAGTTTTTTGTTTTTAATGCGTTCCACCAACTTCAAATACCGACAGACAGCTGTTTTGACCTATATTGGGTCTCATCAGTATCGGGCAACTTGGTGTAGTGGAACACAATCAAAACAAAGGACTCCCTGAGCTTATATGCTCGGTTGTTAAGTCAACAGAGGCGAGATGTAAGAAAATCAGGTGATCCACACCGTCAAACGACGTGGCCTTTGCCGCAATCGGTACATACTATGCAACCGGGACTGCACACAGCAATTGTATCACAGATACTAATATGGCCTAAAGGAATCTAAAATTAACCCAACCGGGCTAAACTTTAAGGTAAACATTCAATTTTCTTAGTTTCTTGACCCATCACTGGTAATATTCATAAGAAAAAATTGAACCTACACCTCGCCAAAGTTTTTTGTTTTGAATGCGTTTCACCAACTTCAAATACCGACAGACAGCTGTTTCGACCTATATTGGGTCTCATCATTTTTCTCTCATTTTTTCTTATGAATATTGATACAATTGCTGTGTATGTACCGATTGCGGCAAAGGCCACGTCGTTTAACGGTGTGGATCACCTGATTTTCTTACATCTCGCCTCTGTTGACTTAACAACCGAGCATATAAGCTCAGGGAGTTCTTTGTTTTGATTGTGTTCCACTACACCAAGTTGCCCGACACTGATGAGACCCAATATAGGTCAAAACAGCTGTCTGTCGGTATTTGAAGTTGGTGGAACGCATTCAAAACAAAAAACTTTGGCAAAGTGTAGGTTCAATTTTTTCTTATGAATATTATCAGTGATGGGTCAAGAAAGTTTCTTAAAGAAACTAAGTAAATTGACTGTTTATAATAATGACCTTTTGTTATTCTATCGCGTAAAGTGTTTAAAGGTACGTTGAAACGACGTGCAGACTCTCTTTGCTTTGCCCCATTTTCGAGGGCTTCTAAAGCAGACTTCATGGACGCTTCTGACCATGAACATTTATTTGTAGTCCGTTTTCTTTTATTTGGCATCTGAAACAAAAAAAATAATGCATTATATAATATGTTTATAGCCAACGAAAATACAGTGGTACAATGTTCAAGAGGGCAATACCGTACACTGGACCGTAATGGCGTACGGGAATACCCGAATGTAGGTTAAAAAAATGTACTACGATGTTATTTTCAATATTTCAACTTACCTTTCGGACTTAAATCAACTACAAACACTAATTGTTCGTATACTGGCAGCACTGTTTTAAAAAACCAATTCAATCACTGTACGTTGTAATTAAAAAGTCACAGCGGTCTTATACGACGTCATGCAAGAAACTTTGTTTTGGTGTGGAAGTTTTTTATTGATAAGGTAGATTTTTAAATCTTGCAGTCATTTACTAGATATCTACGTAGGCATCCTTTTATGCTTTAACTTTTCCAAAATAGATGGCGTAATCGAAAATTTGTCATTAACGGGATTACCCGCATGTACGCCAATACCCGCCGCTTCCCTACCAATTGTTTGGGCATTGTTTTTTTCCATCGTGTTTACGAGATTTTAAGTGGCTTTTACATAATATGCATATTATGCCACTTTTTGCTTTTTATAAAGCCAAACAACAGAAATTTAAGTAAGCCTAACATAGGCGATGTAAGCAAACGATTTAGAAAAAATTGATATAAACTAATTTTTATTTATTTGACAATTCGTATCATATGTGGAAGTATTAATATGTCTATAGTATCATATATTTTAAATCCCACTCCTTATGAACTGACTTTGTGCATAAGGTAAAATGATATCGACAAATTCCCCCTCAAAAAAGGAAACAAGCTCATCGATAGAAAATATAGCGAATAAGAGGTATATGTGTGAAAGTATGTGTTATTCCGTCATCCGATGATTCATTCTGTAACATTTTAAGGAATATTTGTAATTCCTTATTAAAAAGTGATGTTAGAACGGTCATATTCCGTAATAGGAGTAGAAAAAATAGTTATTTATGTATTAAGGGCATAATAAAGTTTTTATGGTCCGAGGCGCTATTTCGAGCCCGAGCGCGTTAGCGCGAGAGCTAGAAAAGCGTCGTAGGACCATAAAAACCAGTTATGCCAGCAATGCATACAAAACTTTATGCACGATTAATATATTATTATTTTTAATATATTATTGTTTTTAAAGACGTTTACGTCAAAGAATTTTTGTTATAATTGTCATATTATAATGTCATCGTGCATAAATATTATTGACATCAGTCAGTTTTAAAGTTTAAAGATGAATGAAATTGAGGAAGCAGCTGAAAAGGCGAAAAATTGCGGCCTGCTGCCGGAAAAATCAAAATCTTTATACGAAAAAAATTACTTCGAATATATCAAATGGTGTAACATAAGGAAGAATATTGTTTTTAATTTTTGACGTTTCATTATAGCCCGCTGGGTCATAATAACGCCCGCGGGCTATAAAAAGACGTTTACGTCAAAGAATTTTTGTTATAATTGTCATATTATAATGTCATTGTGCATAATAGTTATTTATGTCATTATAATGACCTATAGGCTGAGAAGTCAGTATGACCTTAAAGTTTTATTGAGCAAAGTATAAAAATACACCTCTCAGCCGAAGGGCATAGAACATGGTATCTTTAAGGCATAATTTTATTTGTTTAACGATACATAAAACATACAATTATAATAATAATTTTTAAAAGTAGAAAGACAGGTTAGGTAGATCTGACGGTTAAGGATTTTTTTATTAGTCCCAACGGGTTTCTTACAGCCTGAGGGGTAACTTTACCCGATTGGTCTAAATTACTTTTAAAGACTAGGTAGCCTTTATTAGTGAGTGTTAACAATAATAATGTTTAAATTATAGACTACTTAAAGATAAAAATAATTTTAAGGGACCTTAAAACACGTTGTTTTTGTGGTAAAATAAATTCACAATATTGGGTTTAATAAATTTAAATTCTTAATGGTTTATTTAAAAATGATATAATTTTTGCTTATTAAGACCACGTAAATGTTATGTATTACATTGTTTGAAAAAGATCTAATATGATATGAATTGTTAAAATAATTATTAAACTGTTTAAAAAGTGTACTTGATTAATTAAAAAGAATCTAAAAAAATTGTTTGTGGTGGCTTTTAGTGGCAGTTCAACAACGTAACTGGTCCCACGATCTAGGTAATTGATGATCTATAATTGACTCTAGATCTGTCTAGATCTTGCCTGGTGGATCAGCCCGTTTTCTTCTTAATATTTCTAGTTATTCTGTTTGCTACCATGATTTTGTTACTCTGCATTATTAACAATACACATCCGAATAGTGCGTTGGCTCGACAAAAATATTTCACAAAAAATCCTCTTTTCCTCTTACTTTTACATTATTTTGGATTAAGTTTGTACCTTTCAGCCTAATCACTGTATCTGGTAAAAAAAAAGTATTTTTTTTATAATTACCTTTTTACATGGTAATAATTGGACATTGCAAATGTCTTAATATACAAGGTGTCCCTAAACTTATTGGCATAAATTTAGGAAAAGATTGAGTAGGTCAAAATAGGACGAAAACCTAAATAAATATTTTTCCTAATTACTTATGTTTCCCAGATACAGGATAAAGTGTTCCTTATCATATCAGTTTTTTAATATAACTTCTACTATGGTAGTCTTGAAAAGGTGATATTTTGCAACAGTCACTTACTACCAAAACACATATTCACACATAATTACAATTGTTTGAATGAACACAGTGTCGTAGAAACGGTGGTTGCTTTAAACCTATTGAGGTTAGGTTTTTATAACATTTGATGCAATTTTTCGATTACAAAGTTCGGCTACCATTAAAAAGGTATACCTCTCAAACTTCGATAAAATAAACCGTTTCCGAGATATTTGAGATTACAATAATTGTTATATCACAGAATAGAAAAAAACGTATATGATATCAAATTTTATTTTTGAATTAAAAAAACTAAAAGAGGCATTCCATGAGCCTCGGGACTTTTTATCCTGACCGTCACATAAAAAAAATTGTAGTTTTTTCAATTAAAAAATTTGTTATCATATACCTTTTAGTCCTTTAATGCATTCTCGTCCCAGCCGTCGAGTGAAGAAGTCGACGCAGCAGAGGCAGAGTAAACGTAAAACGTATAACGATAAAACCATAACCAACAAATAAACCTTCATAGTGCAAACTACTATAGTGTATAAAAAAAATACTGTGAGTACAGACTACAATACGGTCAATAATTAGTTGACGGCCAAGTGAAAAGGAGGAGTGAAGTGACAGGTGCAGGCGAACATAGTGAAACGGTCAAAAGTTTTAAGCGTTGAGTGACAAGAAAGTGTCGAGTGACAAGTGTCAGTGCCTGAGCGGTCGCACCATCGGTCAACAGGTCGATCTCCACAGGCCAAACAAAAGAGGACATACAAGGGAGGAACAGGCCACCTGCAAATATTTGCTAAGTATTTCCAATTCTTCCGCATGACCTAACACATAATTTGCAAATTGAACTAAACAAGGCACATTGCCTAACTAAAAAAAAACAATAATCATCGGCATTAAATAAATAAAAGTCAATTTTCCAAGAAAAACCAAACAGCCGATCGCGGACACGCACCAAAGTTGAACAGGGCAATAAAGCTGTCAACATAACAATTCAAGTAAAATAAACCGAGACCAAATAAATTTGACACTTAAGACATAAACAACATAAACTAAGAAAAATAAACAAAAAAAAAAGCACTATAATCAAACTCCATGGAATTTGTAAACACTCTTGACTTCATAGTAAAAGTAAAAAAATACCCCCCACTGGGAACTGCCTTATCGCAGCGATTGCACATCAGCTGTTTAACACGGTGATAGGTTCGTTACGCGAAACTGAAACAACAGCAGAGACTAGACAAATATTAAACAACCACTTACGTAACCTAGGAACGTACAGACCCTACATCGAGGACGCAATAAATGAACTAAGCAGTCGTTATGAACACATAAGTGACAAAACAGGACAAATTAATGCGTACCTAAACGACCACGGTAATTACGGCTTCTGGGCCGGACTGGAAACAATACTAGCCGCCTCAGACGTATACAACGCAACAACATACTACAAGCCACCCTTAAACTAGACCTTACAGACAAAAAAGTCGGGAGACCATGCTTCACATTTCATGACACGTTAGCACAAAACATACACTTCTCACAAATTAACAAGACCAGTTGGGAGCAACTTAGCAACAATAAAAACAAAATAAAAAAAAACAACCGACACACTTTACCAAGTTCAGGAACTATCCGACACGGATAATGACAATAATGAACAAGACGAAGACCTCGACTAGGTAACTACACACTGCAGCAATAACAACTCCCCAACTCCAAATAGTAATCCCAAATGTTTGGAGTAATATTAATCGACTGGTCTAGGGGGATTCCGCGTCGTACTTAGTTTTAAGTCGGCGTAATTGTCCCCCAAAAACCAACACCCTCCCGTCCCTTCTCCATACCCCACTGAGCGTATAGCATAGGCTCGGCGAACCCGGGAATGTCTATTATAACTATTCGCCTCTCGCTCTCGAGCTCCAAATAGGGGACAGTACGAAACTCAATGGACATTCGCACCCAGCAAACACGGGTGAAGCCGCGAAGTTGCTGGGGAAGAACAAAAATCGGCGTAAGTAAACATAGGCCTGTACGGGGTTCGAGAGTCAAGAGGAAATGGGGCTGGTTATACGTCTCTTATACTCATATACTCATATACCTTTTAGTCCTTTAATGCGATATAACAATGATTGTAATCTCGAATATCTCGGAAACGGTTTATTTTATCGAAGTTTGAGAGGTACACCTTTTTAATAGTAGCCGAACTGAGTAATCGAAAAATTGAATCAAATGGTATAAAAACCTAACCTCAAACTTTCTATGGGACAATAAGCTTAAGCAACCCCTGTTTCTACGACACTGTGTTCACTCGAACAATTGTAATTATGTGTGAATATGTGTTTTGGTAGTAGACTGTTCGCAAAATATCACCTTTCCAAGTCTACCATAGTAGAAGTTATATTAAAAAAACTGATATGATAAGTAACACTTTATCACCCTGTATCTTTTAAACATACGTAATTAGGAAAAATATTTATTTAGATTTTCGTCTTAGTTTAGGGACACCTTGTGTAATAACAATTACTACCTACATTAAGTGCCTATATATTTAGGCACAAAATTGTCGACATGTCATATTTTGTCTACATAATCATAATCAACCATTTTCTGTACTCGTTACATTATAATATAATTATAATTATAATTATAGCATATTATGCTATTAATTTGTAAACTTTTTAACTAAGTTTATATAATTTCTATATTAAGTGAATAGGCTAAAAAGGCAAAATTAAAACAAACTACTATTTATAACTTATATTTGAGTCAAACCTTCGTGCTAGTTACCTTTTTCACTTTATTAATTTATAGGATTTGTATGTGTAGAATCTAAAGAGATTTTTAAAGATTCAAGTAGACTCTTTTTTATAATTGAATATCAATGCTGAAATTTTGCCTGTGTAACGGAATGTAAATTGACTCACATTCTGTACCCTTTTGCACATTCTTTGCATGGTTTCATTATTATCATTTCTCGAAATGATCGGTCATTATTAAAGAATAAATAGTTAAGGAGTCATAAAATATCAATAAAATGAAATTTATGTACTAGTAAGTATTGCTAACGTAATTTTTACCCTGGGCTTCCAAGGTATTTTTTTTAGATTTCATAAACACATTTTTAAAGGATATTTTTGTTTTGGCTTTTTTTCCAGATGTCGGAATGATTATGATGCAGACAGGCATGGTCAAACAAGGCCTAAATCTATACAAAAAAAATCTGGATGGTACGAACCATCCTTGAGATGGTACAAAGCTTATATGCTTTATGTACTCGATGTATTTTGTTCTTGCTAAATTTAAAATTTTTATTTAATTTTTAAGATCATAACAATGCCCAATTAAAAATTTACTACTCAATTCTATATACACTAGAGTTGATAAGTCTATTATTTATATGGTCTTAAAAAATAATAAAAATAAAAAGTACCACATCACTGTCTGCTTGCAGGTTAAGTATTATTTTAAAACGGATTTTTTTGCAAAATTAATTGCTAGTTACAATTTTGCAATTTGCTTAATATGCAGCTAATTACTAGTTAAGTTCATACATTTTCACTATTATTAGTAGTCCATGAAAATTCCGTAGAACAGATTTTAACCCTTTAGACGCCCAGGGTTTAACTTTTACAACTAAGCAAATGCTAAAAACGGTTGGTCAAAAAATACTTCTACGTGCATATTTTTTGACCACCAAGGCAAAGCAATGCAAAAATAACTAATCCATTGGGTAGACGCGGTTTACCGTTTTTGCTAAAAAAATATCAACTAACAAAATATTTTTGTCTGGTTGTGGCTATGCAGTGGCAACGTTCAGGAAAGGCGTCAGAGCCATACAATTGGTCGGCAGAGCAAGTACGTATTACCCCTACAGTTATATCTCTATCTACCACAATGAGAAATGTAAACATTTTCTGAATCTTTTACATAACAAAATAATATTTCTATAAAAAGAACTATTTCGATGAAATGGCCTTTATATCATGCCTCAATACATAGCAAATATACACTTTATGTATATTTTGCTACCACAATCATTATTTGAAGCAATTTTTCTCGCGCAACATTTTATGACAGAAACTAGTTCCGGAGTTTTTTAATACAAATGCAAGAATCATCACGTTAGGTTTTTATTTTCAATGTAATATGAAAATTCCTCAGATAATGCCTTCATAAAAATTTGGCAAAAATCCTAAAGCTTAATTTCAATTTTTTCCTTACCAAGTTAAAAAAAAAATTATTGAAATTATAGAAAAATAAGTTTTTTAAATATTTATGTATAATTGTCGCGGCAAATGTTTCAAATTGCTTCATCAAATTCTGAACAAAGCACAGACATAACAATTATTGTTGTTTTCTTTTACGTATATAATCCAAGGAACCGCTATATTAACCGTATATCGAGAAATCGGTTTTTGACATTGATGACGCAATTTGAAACATTCGCCGCGACAATAGCCATTTTTTTATTTATATAAATTAATAAATAAAAATCCTTTACTTTATTTCGCTAAAAATTTTCATAGTAAAATTGCAATTATAAATGTAATTTACAATACAAAGTAATCTTCCACTTTAAATTCATTTTGATGTTTTTAAAATCGTTTATGCTTTAAGTTGAAATTTTATTATAACTAAAATATTAGCACATAGGACAGCCTATTTCGGTCTTTTCAACCTCATCAGTACCGGGAAGCCATGTGGTTTGGAAGCATACTTATATTACGCTGCCCTCCGCCGCTATATAGAGTGTGCCTAAACAACACATGGCTACCCGGAACTGATTGGGTCCAGAAGACCGAAACAGGCTGTCTGTCGGTGCCTGTTTATGTGGCACACTTAAAATAAACTCACAATTTTGGGCATAACCCCTTTAAGAAAGTAGAAAAACCATTTGGTTGACAGAATAAAATACATAGAAAATAATTTTATAAGTGGCATTGCAAATTTATAGAAAACAATAATTTTTACTTTTGGGATATAATTTTTCAAGAACCCGAAGCGTCGTAATAAAGTAATTTTATGGCAGGCAGAGTATAAAAAAAGTATAGTTTCTGTTATAAACCTGTGTTATTTACAGTAAAATTTTGAATATATTTAATGAATAAAGAAATAAAAATTGGACATATTGGCCTTGATTACGGGTTTGTTAAAAATAAAGATATTTACAGAAAACTAAACTTGCCAAAGGTTTCAGAAAATGTAATCACTTAACACATCACATCGTATAAACGTTGACTTGACACACTATACAAGCTAAATCTAAATGTATATACTGAACAGAATTTCATAATTACTGAAGACAAAACAATCTTGTGAGGAACAATCAACAAGCCTAACTATACAATTTTCATAAAAATAATAAACAATTGCAATCAGTGATTATAAAATTCCTGCACAGAATCTTGTAATTTTGTTTGTCTGTTACAAATAGGTATTTTTGGCACTTTGGTGTATATTTTGAAATCAAAACTTGTAATGAAAACTGTTCGTGTCTGTATTAAAAGGACTTTAATATAATTTACATACCTTTGGATTCAATTTAAGCTTGACTCTATAGGATGTCCCAAATCTGTTTTTTTAGAGATTTTTTAAGAAAGCATCAAGATATTTGATTTTAAATAAAAAAACCAAATTTTTTATATAGTACCATCATGTCTATAATATATAATATATAATTTATAATTTATAATTTATAATTTATAATATATAATATATAATATAATAATTAATTAATTATAAATTATAAATTATAAATTATAAATTATAAATTATAAATTATAAATTATAAATTATAAATTATAAATTATAAATTATAAATTATAAATTATAAATTATAAATTATAAATTATAAATTATAAATTATAAATTATAAATTATAAATTATAAATTATAAATTATAAATTATAAATTATAAATTTTAAATTATAAATTATAAATTATAAATTATAAATTATAAATTATAAATTATAAATTATAAATTATAAATTATAAATTATAAATTATAAATTATAAATTATAAATTATAAATTATAAATTATAAATTATAAATTATAAATTATAAATTATAAATTATAAATTATAAATTATAAATTATAAATTATAAATTATAAATTATAAATTATAAATTATAAATTATAAATTATAAATTATAAATTATAAATTATAAATTATAAATTATAAATTATAAATTATAAATTATAAATTATAAATTATAAATTATAAATTATAAATTATAAATTATAAATTATAAATTATAAATTATAAATTATAAATTATAAATTATAAATTATAAATTATAAATTATAAATTATAAATTATAAATTATAAATTATAAATTATAAATTATAAATTATAAATTATAAATTATAAATTATAAATTATAAATTATAAATTATAAATTATAAATTATAAATTATAAATTATAAATTATAAATTATAAATTATAAATTATAAATTATAAATTATAAATTATAAATTATAAATTATAAATTATAAATTATAAATTATAAATTATAAATTATAAATTATAAATTATAAATTATAAATTATAAATTATAAATTATAAATTATAAATTATAAATTATAAATTATAAATTATAAATTATAAATTATAAATTATAAATTATAAATTATAAATTATAAATTATAAATTATAAATTATAAATTATAAATTATAAATTATAAATTATAAATTATAAATTATAAATTATAAATTATAAATTATAAATTATAAATTATAAATTATAAATTATAAATTATAAATTATAAATTATAAATTATAAATTATAAATTATAAATTATAAATTATAAATTATAAATTATAAATTATAAATTATAAATTATAAATTATAAATTATAAATTATAAATTATAAATTATAAATTATAAATTATAAATTATAAATTATAAATTATAAATTATAAATTATAAATTATAAATTATAAATTATAAATTATAAATTATAAATTATAAATTATAAATTATAAATTATAAATTATAAATTATAAATTATAAATTATAAATTATAAATTATAAATTATAAATTATAAATTATAAATTATAAATTATAAATTATAAATTATAAATTATAAATTATAAATTATAAATTATAAATTATAAATTATAAATTATAAATTATAAATTATAAATTATAAATTATAAATTATAAATTATAAATTATAAATTATAAATTATAAATTAACCAGAAAACCAACAGAACCTTAGGAAAATTTCTACAATTCCATCAAATTCAACCTAAATTTATTCGACAATCTGACTTTTAAGTAACTTATTTCGAATAAATTGAATCAATGTCTTCTAAAGATCAAACAAACAAATTTGGGTTTTAAGAAAAAATCTGGAAAATGGATTGGGACACCCTGTGTTTTTTTAAATGTGTTAGTTGATGTAATATAAAGTATAGTGGTGTGTTTTTCTAGAGACATTTAAATAGAAAATGTTTATTTTAAGTACATAACCATTTTCACATTTTTTACATTTAATTCCCATTTACACAGTTTAATGCAAATTGATTTTAACTGCTAAAAATCGTTGTTTTATATTTTTAAATTTGTACCCAAAATGTGGAATAAAGTATCTTATATACCATTATAAAAAATATATTTATAAATAAAAAGAAGATTTTCTATACATCTTATCTATCTGTACCCAAGAGCTAAGTCCAAAAATTTGATTTTTGAAGTAGAAATTTGAAACACAGTATTTTCATCTTTGCATTGTTTGCTTGATTTTCATGAAACCAACAGAATATTTTGTGGGGTTTATAGAAATAGAGCTTTAAACAACGATGCAGATTAAAATTTCGCCTCTTAAATCTTTAAACGGCTCTCCTTAAAAATATACATCCATTCATATAAATAAAATTAAAAAACTTATTTGTTTGTCCTAGATAATCTCTAGACAGCTAAATCGACTTTGACCGCACTTTCATTGGCAGGTAGAGGACTTATTTAGAAAGCAATATACAGAACACTAATCAACTTAATGTACAATGTCAATGTCAGTGTCAGTATATATACTAAATATATATTTTAAAAACATACAATTTCTAATCAAACATTTTGTGACATCAGGAAATGTAGTGATCAATATACTGCACATATAATTATTATTTTGAATTGAAAACAAATTACTGTTTTGCGTATCAATGGTTACTGTTTTTATGTACCGTACTGACTGACAGACAACAACAAAAAAATAGAAATCGTTCTTACATTTAACGGAAACGGGTCGAAAACGATACACTTTAATTTTATTTATATGTATTAGGGTGCTTCAAAAAATAAAATTTATTTTTTTTTCGCTCTTACCCTCTCAAATGTTTCAATTTAATATAAAAAAAATCCTCACCGAATATAGGCGTTCCAGCTCAACTAAAAAATAAAAAATTAAAACAAAACAGAAAATTTGATGTTATCAAACTTTGACCTCAAATAACTCTAGAAGAAATCAATTTATCGAAAAATAATAAGAGACCTTTTTTGTACAGCGTTACATTTTATATAAGAAACTGCAATGATCATTGCCATAAGTTAAGTACTTTGATACAGAGGTATAAAATTCCAAACATAAAATTATTTTTTCCCCTGTTAATTAAATGGGAAACTAAAATAAAAACAGCGACCTCTTAGAGTTGAGCTGGAACGCCCATATTTGGTGAGGATTTTTTTTATATTAAATAGAAACATTTGAGAGCGTAAGAGCGAAAAAAAAATTAAATTTTATTTTTTGAAGCACCCTAATATGTATAGTTATCCCCTTATTTGGACTACGGGAGAGATGTCCGGGTATTCAGCTAGTATTTTCATAAAAACGATGACGTTTTAGTGAACAGCACATTTATTTATTAAACAAAGAGTATTAAAGGCAAAGTAGTTTAAATCAGTTTGCATGTGACTTCTAAAATTTTACCTGACTTACACATCTTTTCACGTACTTTTATAATTTTAATTTGGTGTGCAGGCGAGGACTTCACGTATTCAAGTAAGTTCCTAACTGAGCCGGTGAATTAAAAGTATATGAATCCTAAAAAACAGATTCAACACAAACTTAAGTATCGCCAATTATTGTTCAGGATCGCAGCGGCAAATCAATTTCATATTGAGCTACTATTTATTGCTTCCACACCACTTAGTCACTCTTTTTCTGTATCTCTGTCTGTTACTATATACAACCTTTTTTATATCTTCACTCTCACTCTAGCATGACTGTCTGGCCCGCAGAATGCATGTAGATTGTTGTTTTGTGAATGCTGAAATGCAATATGCTTGAACCATTGTATTATTAATGTTTATCTATTTATTACACTACAAAAAAATGTTGGCTATTTTAATAATTCACTTTTTACCAAATTTTGATAATTAACTAAAATATAGGTACACATAACATTATTAGCATGTACTGGAAGGTAAATTAAATTTTATTTTTTTTAAATCCTGTAACATTATTTTTAAACTGTTATTTTATTGTGTTATTAATAATTACAACTGATGTAGGTACTCGTATTTATCTAAACACAGTTTAAAAACAAGAATTGTTTTAAAATTAATTTTATTTTCAAAATATTGAGATTTTATTATTATATACTTTGAATAAAACTTAATAAAGCTATAAATAATAATATTAAAATAACAATATCTCATACATTTAAACAAAATAGCAAACATTTTGTTAACCAGTGATATTTTGTATGAATAGTTTAAATCCAATATATTCCAAGATTTACTTACCTACATAAGTTATATTATATTTATTTGAATAAAAATTAATTCAATATTTTTGGAATATATTGGTAAAAATAGAAAAACTAGAAATACCTACATTAGCGTAGAAATAATAGTAAATATAGTCGAATGTGCGAGATTGGTTTATGGTTTACAGATGACCATCATCCTCCTCCCACTTTTACACCACCAGAGTTGCCCAAGAAGGTTCATGTTCGAGGTATTTTTTTTGTAATAAATCTTTTATTTTCACACACTATAATTCTCCTTTGCCCACTGCACCCTGTTTTTTAATTTGCAAACAAATTAATGAATTTAGGTTGGTCTTATTTTGTACTTGGATTAAAGAGTTAGTACTATAATATATATATTATATTCTTACTCTTTTATCTAATGTTTATATATATATATATATATATATATATATATATATATATATATATATATATATATGTATATATATATATAAATATATGTATAATATACATTGTATGTATATACATATATATGTGTATGTATATATGCATATGTTTTTTTATAGTATGTCCCAAAATAATTGCACATATATTATAAAAAATTAAAAAATATACACATTTATATGGAGCATTCCACAAATCGACCACTTTTGAACTCTACCTGTTTTGATTTAGCTCATTACTATCCCACTAAAAACGTTTATGTAAATTTTTTCAAATCTTTAAACCCAACTAAAAAAGTTTGACTTGTTCTGTGTTTAAGGCGCAAATCCTAGTGAGCCATTTATTCTTTATATTTATTTTTTTAATTAATTTTTTTTTAACTTTTTTTTATACCAAAATAAATTTAAATAAATATATAAACATGAAAATTTAAAAGGGTTAGCCCTAAAGAGCAATTAAAATATTTTGTATGTATTACCGGTACCTTGGAATTACAAGATTTTTAGTGCAGCTGCCCTGTCAAGCGAAAACGCCTTATCTGATTTTTTTTAATTCATAACTGTTTTTCGGTTGGGCAAAATAGGCAAAAAATAAAGAGGTAGTATAAGATAAGATAAACAGCCAAATCAAAGGGGTCGGGTTTAAAAGTGGTCAATTTGGAGTGAAATGAGTATGAGTATTTTTTTATTTGAAGAGCTAGAATTTCGGTAAAATTTGAGAAAAGTTGCGTAATTACAGGTCTATTAAAATAAAATTTATAAATTGGAAAAAAGGCCAGCGGTTCATAAAAAAAAAATCGTCATTACTTTGTTCCTGGGAATTTTGAAACAAAGTGGGTCTTGCATGTAAATATACAAATTAATCTACCTACATTTTTATAATGGCCGCCATAACTAGTTTGATACATCGGATTCCTTATTTTTTTATCTAACCAGGTAAAATCATAATACAAACTTTTGGTTATCCAAAAACTGGTATCTCAAAAACTAGTAGGTAAAAAAAATCAAAAATTGAATAAAAATGTAAATAAAATTTAACATTTAATGTGTATGTTTACATGTAAAACTTACTTTTTTGAATTCCTCGGAATAATGAAGTTGTAACAATTTTTTGGTTTTTACACGTTTTCAGTGTTTTTTTTAAGTTTTAAATGCCATTTTAATAGACTTTAGATTTTAATAAGGGAACTTTTGTCTAATTTAACCGACGTAGATCTTCAAATAAAAAAGATACCCAGGAGACTTGGTGCACCCTGTATACAATAAATTTTATGTTTTATTACAATTTATTACATATTACAGTATTTACGAAAAAGTAATATAACAAAAAAATTGCATTTTCCATATTAAAAAAAACGTTTTTTATAAAAAAAAGTCTAACCCCCAGGGATCTTTATAAATGTTTAGAATTATTTTAATTTAATATATTAATAAATATATAATAATATTATATTGTTAATATATTAATAAATATTTTTACATAAAATATATAAAATTTAGTTGTAAGAATATTTAAAAAAACGTCGTTATAAATATTTTTTTAGCTTTTTTATTTAAGAATTTTTTTTTTGCAATACCACTATTTTTACGAACCGTGTTTTGTTATATAAATAAAAAAAAATTCGTACGGTAGTAGTGCACGAAGCGCTCTTAGTAACTTAGCTACAGAGTATGATTTAAAAAAAAAGAAAAATGTTCAAGTTAATTGTTTGTTCGATTTTCTTATTCAACATAACATACATACATAACAACATTCGAATCTTTGCAATGCAATTTATTTAAACTAGTAATTTTGGATTACGCCAAAAAGCAGTTTTTGAAATATCAAATTTATCATTTATCACGCTCTGTAACAATTATTAGATTTAAGAGTCCTTCTGGTACCAATTATAATAATTTTATATAATATATATATGTATATATATATATACATATACAGCCCGTTCAGAGTAAAACCGAATATAGGGAAACGTATGGGGCGTGGCCTCGACTCCCTCCCACGCGCGACACAGTAGCTAAGCGAATTTTAATGAGATTTTTTGCATTATTATCATTTTTAATTTTCAAGGTCGTCTTACCTGCTCGACCTTTCGTCATGTCGTTTATCACACAAGCTACTGTGGCGCGCGTTGGAGGGAGGCGAGGCCACGCCCGATACGTTTCCCTATATTTGGTTTTACTTTGAACGGGCTGTATATATATATATATATATATATATATATATACTCATATATAAATAAATAATTTTATAGTACTTTTATATATATATATATATATAAAATAATTTTATAGTACTTTTACATGTTAAGTTCTAAGCCATTTATTAGTTTCCTGACAAAATAACTTAAATTATAGGAATATTTTTTTATGAAAAAAAAATATATTTTTATATGAAAAGTTCATAATATTACACCTATTTTTATTTTAAATTGCTACAAATTCCCAAAAAAATTTACAACGCTTCTTGATAAACTCTGCTTGAGACCCTTAAAATCCTACTTCAAAACTTCCTAATTTATTTTGTAAATTAGTTAACAATACTTGACTAAAGTAGTTTTTAAATATGTAAAACTAAAAATACAGTTTAGATAATTAGCCTAGCTTAGCTGATGTACAGAAAAAATAAACTTATTATTTTGCCTTCGCGAATAATTTAATGGGTCGCTTTTTATTTGCAGGTGACATGAATCGTCATGAAGATGTCCAGCGTAAGTTATAAATTATGAATAACACAAAGTTACTTAAAAAACTTAATTATAATGTTAAGTCTAGTATTTGTTTACTTTAATTACCTAGGTAATAAAAACAAAATGTCAAAAGGGTATTGATGTTAGTTAATCAAAAACACATTGGAAACATATTTTATTTTATTGTATTATTTCTACACTCGAAACAAAAGGTTTATTTTTATTTTTTTAACAGTAACACATAGAAATCCTAGAAATAGTACAGCACCACCAGCTAACCACGTGGTTAATAATTCGACAAAACATGTTTTGGTTAATAAAGTCAAGCCGAACATTACGAGATCAGCTACGGATAATTTGGTATCGCCTGGATATAATTCAAGGTAGGAAATATTTCTTTAAATATTTTATAATTTAATAAAAAACATAATACATTTCATAAACACCTACTATACTATTACACTATCACATATAGGCACTGCATGACACCAATGAAAAGCTAATGCAAAAGGCAGTTTTTGCGGTTTCAGGAATATGCAATTTCTTGATTGAGTGTGTCGCAGTTTTCTCCATCCTGAAATTAATAATTTTATAAAAAACTGCGTTTTGCAGAGTAGCTCCTCTAATAAAAAAAAATACCTACTGTTCACTATACACATACTTTTTACAATTTAATTTAAAATATTTGTATTACAAACTAAACTAATGTACAAAAATTAGTTACAATTTTTATAAGGATTTTATTAGGTTTATATTATAACTAAATACTATTTATGAAAGAAAACAAATATTTCCTGGTTATTATACAGAAAAAATGATTTTTTGTTTAAACTTTGGCTAATGGCATTTTTTGAACCCTTAAAAACTCCATCATTTACATACATGTGTACTGCCAGTACATTGTTATACAATAATTGACTAGAAATTTTCTATTTTTTTTACTTCTTTAACAATAAATTTTATTTAAAGACTTGTTATAAACCTTTTAAAATTAGCAAGGAGTTTTTTTCTTTTTAATATGACTTAACTATGGTTTCGCGTAAAAATCGAACAAATTTTGGACATTTGTTTGCAAGTGATGCCAGAATTGAATATATTTTTTTAACCTTGTTTTTACATCTAAATGGTGCATTTTTTTCAAAACAAAAATTTCATCCATTGACCGCTGTGGTTTTCAGGCCTTAAGTCACTCTACTTTGTTAAAAATAGATAAATTTCGATATTTAATAATAATAAAAATAATATTAAGTTTATTTCCTATTTGTTACATTTCTAATAACAAAAAAATAACTATAGTATTTATACAAATATGTCGTAAATAAACATAGGAAACCACTAGGTTATTTTCAAGCAGGCAAAATAAAATTACGCCCCCCGGTTATCACATGTACCTAGATCTAAACTACCAATTACCATTCCTACATTAGCCTAACAATAAAGTGAGAATAATAAGATGAAAATTATATTTGATTGTTGTAATTAAACAGATTAATTTATAAATATGTAATAACATTTTTATTTAAAAACGATTTGAAATTAAGATCAAATATAGACCTTATTAATGGCAATAAATCCACGTAATATTTTTTTTAGATTTTAACATACAGGGGGCGCTGGGGACAATTTAATTTAAAATTTTACCAATTTTTAAGGGTTAAAAATCGAAGAAGCAACGTTGTTTTATAATTTTGACTATATCACGTTAAAGTACTAATAATTAACTATTATTTGATATATAAACTTCTACATGCAAATTATGTTTCTACGAGAGACATCATTTTTAAGTTAGGCCTTCAAAGGGCATAATACTAACGTGTATTACAAAGTATATATTCTTTTAACTAGTTTTATAAGATAATGTATTATATATTACATATTATACATTATATATTACATATTATATATTATATATAACATACAATTCTTACATATTTATTTAAAAAAATCGCCATAGATGGAACTAAAATTACTTTTATTTATAAATTTAAATTTTTTTCAAGTTTACTAATTTTGATCATAGTAAGCATCATAAACTTTTCTCTATGGTAACCTACCATTGTAAGCATGAAAGATAATATGACAGTTTAGTTTATAAGTTGCAAATGACTGATTGCGTTTCAATTTATTGTACTACAATTTAGTGTACTATAAACTCAAAACATTAATTTATTGAAATGAATAAACTAAATAATAATTATAGACAGTGTCAGCAAGTTAGAAATTATAACCTACTTTAATTTTATATTTTCCCCACAACCAAGCTTTAATTTATTTTTGTACTCGATAAGCAAGGTTCAATTTTAATTCCAAACTGAGGAAAGTAATATTTACCCATTAAATAAATTAGAATAAAGACTTTATTTTTTATGTTGCGATCGGCTATGTATATATATATATATATATATAAATATATATGTATTTTTTTATTCAGTTGTTTTAGTAATTAGTTATTTTGCATTTTTTTATATTTATTATAATGCTGTACAGGGTGTTTCTGGAGAAACGCAAACGATATGGATTTGAAATTTTAATAGCATACCTATATAATATGATTTAGACCAGGGGTTCCCAAACTTATTCACTTTGCGGAGCACTTACAGGTTTGATATATTGACACGGCGCCCCAAAAAATTTTATTTGAAAAAATACAAGGAAATACAAATAAAGCATTAAATATTTTGTTTTCTGATTGGAAGGGGTGAAGACGGGGGCCTCGCGACGCCCCTGGGCTGCCTTCACGGCGCCCAAGGGCGTCGCGCCGCACACTTTGGGAAGCTCTGATTTAGACTATACCTAAAGTCAATAGTTTTCAAGATATTAATTTTTTCGTTAATATTTTGTTAAATGAGCGTTAATCAAAAATAGCCTCTAACTTTTTTGTTATTATGTTTTGCTGACATAATAATAATAATAATAATAATAATATATATTTCTGCTAATACCAAAGGTTTACATCGTCAATACATAATATGTATGGTAATAAAAATACATCAAATTCAGAGTTTTAAGATTAAATCTAGGATAACCTAACTAAAGTAAAATAACATAAATTTCGAGCACTTAACATTACAAATTATTAAAATTATAAGTAAAAAATTCATTACAACTATAAAAAGCATTTTCTTTTAAAATATCTATAATTTTGTTTTTAAAAATTTTCAGAGGAAGTTCTGCAATTTTTTTGGGTAATTTGTTAAAAAGCCTGACACCCATAGAATCAGGCAAGTTTTGACCTTTTGTAAGCCTGCTGAATCTTGGTATGATGTCACCTCCATTTCGAGGATTATAATTATGCACACTACCATGGGAGTGAAACACAGCAAGATTAGATTTAATATATATTAGGTTTTTTAAATTATACATGGGAAGGTTAGTATGCCCAGCGTACTGAATGCTTCCCTACATTCGTCACCATAGGCAAGGCCGGCGACAACTCTTACAGCTCTTCTTTGTAGTGAAAATATTTTATGTGCCTCTGCTGCGCTCCCCCATATTATTATGGCATAAGATATGAGGGAGTGGCATAGAGCAAAATATGCTGTCTTCAAAACATTTTTGGACACACAAGTTTCTCAGTACGAAGATATTAGAACTTAATTTCTTGCACACTGTGTTAACATGTATGTCCCATTTTAGTTTTGGGTCTATGTCGACTCCCAAGAATCTCACTGCTCTTTGACCACTGATGTTATGCTCTCTTAGAGAAAAACACATAACATTAGTTTTATTTTCATTCAGCAAAAGATTAGCTCTTGATTGTGCCTCATCGACCTGGCTCATTAGAACATCTGCATTGTTATTTCTTATAGAGATTGTTGTGTCGTCAGCAAAGAGAACATAACTTACTTGATCATTTTTATAAGGTAAATTGTTAATAAAAATTAAAAAAAGAAGGGGACCAAGTACATAGCCTTGTGGCACCCCAACTGTTAATATGCTCCTTGCTGACGTCAAACCATTTACTCGGCAGACTTGACCTCTGCCAGTTAAGTATGACTTAAGGAGTTTTAGAGATGTCTTTGAAAAATTATATTTGGCTAATTTTTGAATGAGCAAATCGTGTGAGACACAATCAAAGGCTTTACTTAGGTCGCAAAAGATTGTGTAATTATACTGAAAATTCTCAAAGGTTTCAGAAATATTATTGATAAATTTTAGTATACCTGTAGTAGTACTATGGTTTTTTCTAAACGCGTGCTGGCAGTTAGTAAATATTTCGTGTTTTTCAAAATACAGTGAGATTCTTGAGGCCAAACATCTTTCTATAATTTTTGAGAAAATAGGTAAAAGCGAAATTGGCCTGTAGTTGTTTTTGTTTTTTTTTTGACATGGGGTTGGAATTTTTGAAATATTAAAACATTGTTTTAATAATTAATTTTTTTAAAGGTTTTTCAACAAATATCTACTTGAAATTAGGCAAACTTCAAACAATAATAACGTATTTATTATAAATATAAAACACTGTATGTTTTAACATAATCAAATAGAAAATTAAAGAATCTTTTGATTGATATTATAATAACTGTTTCCTAAAGTTATAATATTTTCAATACTATTTTGTATCAACAAACCTTTGAAATTCTACATGTGGGTTAATGTGACAGTATCCATGGTTACCACTTAATCTGTCATTGTTTAAAATTAATTAAAATATTTTATAGAAAAATTAATAACTCGAAAAATATTGACTTTAGGTATAGGATATATCCTATATCAGAATTTTTTGTGGAATTTAAAAATGTAAAAATATATAAGGTGTCCTGTTTAAAATAACAAAGTTAAAGACATTTCCGATAAAATATGAAGTATTATTTTGTTTAAAATAATTTAGGAAAAAAGTCTAAATCGAATAATTTACGCTATTAAAATTTTAAATCAATGTCTTTCGCGATTCCCTATAGGGAATCGCGAAAGACATATATAAACTTCTAATGGACTACCGACGTAATTTATTAATAAAAATAATACAAGAATATTTGTATAAAAATGACAAAATGTACTAAACTAAAAATTTATGAATACTGCCACTGCTAATTCAAAACTGATCCTGGCCACAGAAACATAATTTGTATAAAAAAGTTAATATATCAAATAATAGTCAAGTATGAATACTTCAACGTGTTATACTTAAATTTATAAAACAAAGTTGCTTCTTCGTTTAAAAATTGTTAAATTTTAATTTAAATTATCACCAGTATCACCAGTATGTTAAAATCTAAACAAATATTTTTCATGTATTAATTGTCATTAGTAAGATCTAAATTTTTTTCATTTTTAACACAGTGAAGAAAAAAATAAAAATAAAAACAAAGTTAAAAATGGACGAGATTTTTTTGTTGAAAAAAGTACTGCATTTAGATGTAGAAATAAGGTAAAAAAGTTT